CAGGCGAAGAAGTACTGGCGAGGAGAGTGGCTCGGTAGCCGGTCTAGAGACAGGTCTGTCTCCTGACCCACACGCAGCCGAGGGGGCTAGTAGTGAGGCGGAGACCCTAATTGATGATGATGAGGCTGATCGCACTTGGCAGCCTCGTCGTCATCAGGCAATTTCTTCCGCATCATCAGGAGAAGAGGGTGCCAGCTTGGCAGCGAGCAAAACAGTCGGTGGGTTGCCCAGGAGGCAGCAGGGTCGCAGCAGTGTCAGTGGAGGCAAACGGCCACGGAGTAGAGCACCAGCTCCACTGCAGCCTACCACCACGGCCAGTAGTGGTGCCGGTGTGCACGGAGGAAGTAGCAGTCAGCCAGTGAGGGAGTAGCGGGGGCAAAGTTTCCTACTCGGCGGTGTGGCAATTTTTCGTCAAGCCGCCCGAGGAAGTAAACGTAGCCGTATGTCGACTATATGGCCAGAAAGTCAAGCGTGGCCAGGGGGCCCATGTTGGGACTACAGCGTTGCGTCAGCATATGCAGCGTCGCCATTCGGTGGCCTGGGAAAACCGTGATAAAGATACGGCGGTTCTGCCTGCCCCAGCCCCCGCTCCATCACCCCGCTCCGTTACTTGCTCCGTCACCCGACGTCAATCGCCCTCTATCAGCCAGTCAAGGCTCCAACACCTCTGCTGAGGGGAGTTGTTCCGCTCGTTCAGATGCTCGTTCTGCTCCTTCTCCTGCTACTCCTCTTCACGGATTCCGTCAGCAGTCTTTTTTGGAATCCGTTTCCAAGAGACAACAGTTTGCGAGCACGCACCCGACGGTGCAAAAGCTGAACGTCCTCCTGTCCAAGTTGCTGGTGCTGCAGTCCCTCCCTTTCCAAGTGGTGGACTCAGCACCTTTCCGAGAAATGATGGCTTGTGCCGCGCCGCGGTGGAGAGTGCCAAGCCGTCATTTCTTCGCCAAAAAGGCAGTGCCAGCCCTGCATTCACATGTAGAAGAGATGGTGGGCCAGTCTTTGAGCATGTCGGTCTCTGCCAAAGTGCACGGCAGCGCCGACGTGTGGAGCTGTAACTACGGTCAGGGACAGTACATGTCATTTACGGCCCACTGGGTGAACGTGGTGCCGGCACAGCCGCACCAGCAACTTGGACAGGTCACGACGCTTTTGCCTCCACGTTTGCACGTCCTTGGTCCAGCAAAGATGTCCGCCTCTACCACCTCTTCTTCCGCCGTGTCCTCAGCCGCCACCCCCGTGCCAAGTCCCATTACCCGACCGGCATATCACATGTGCAGGGCGCAACGGTGTCACGCTGTGCTGCACCTGGTATGCCTTGGCGAACGTAGTCACACAGGGGAGGAACTTCTGAGTGTAATGAACAGAGAAATCGACAGATGGCTGTCTCCGCGCAAACTGAAAATCGGAACCATGTTGACCGACAACGGAAAAGAACATGGTGTCTGCTCTGCGTCAAGGAAGGTTGTGCCATGCGCCATGCATGGCTCACGTGTTCAATCTGGTTGTCAAGCGGTTCCTAAAATCCACCATCCCACTGCAAGACATCCTTAAAATGTCACGTAAACTTTGCATGCATTTCAGCCATTCCTACACCGCAAAGCACACCCTCCTTGAGCTGCAGCGGCAGAACGGAATTCCACAGCATCGCCTGATCTGCGACGTTGCAACAAGGTGGAATTCAACCCTACACATGTTAGACCGCCTTTACGAGCAGCGAAAGGCCATCACCGATTTCCTGATGTTACAAGCGGATAAAGGTACTCCCCTGTGTAACTTCGATGTCAGCCATTGGCAGCTCATGCGTGACACCTGCCGCTTGCTCAGGCCCTTTGAGGAGGCCACGCTATTCGTGAGTCGGCAGGACTATGGGATGAACGACGTCATTCCTCTGTTGCACGTCCTGGAACAAATGCTGTTAACAATGGCTGGTCAGGGTGCGGTAGACGTGGCGCACAGATCTCAACGCCACATGACCCCTGTGGGGGCAGGACAGGAAGAAGAGGAGGAGGTAGAGGAGGACATTTGTGCTCAGGAATTATTGAGTGAAATGGGTGGTTTTTCCACTCAGCGGACAGGAGTGGAGGAGCAGGAGCATCTGGTAGAGGAGGAGGAGGAGGAGACAGAGGACCCAGACGCACCGTGGCAGTATGCTGTGGAGATGGAGGCAGGGAGTCCCTCGCATTCCTTGGCACAAATGGCCCATAGCATGCTCGGTTGCTTGCGTAGCGACAGCCGAATAATAACCATCAGACAGAGGGATGACTTTTGGCTGTCCACCTTGTTGGACCCTCGCTACCGTTCCAAAATGGTGGCCTTTTTCACACCTGCTGAGAGGGAGGCCAAAATTACGTACTATAAAAACCACCTATGTAGTCAGTTGGTCTCTGCCTTTCGTCTGCGCCAACGTCCATCCTCAGACACTGTGGGCCCTGTGCGCTCGCGTTCCGCTGCCATGGCAGCAGGGGAGGGGGTGGGGTGGTAGGAGCAGTGGCAGCTCCACCAGCAGCGGCTGCCTCAGTCTGCAGTCGATGATGAGTAGCTTTCTTCACCAGCGCAGTGAGGAGAGGAAACTACTAACCACCAGCAGCAGCAGCAGCAGCAGCATCAGGTGGACCTGGAGCAGGAGCTCAAACAACAGGCTTGGGCCTACTTGGACAGCACCCTGCCAACCGAGGTAGACAATCCCCTTGACTACTGGGCAACGAAACTTGACCTTTGGCCCCAACTAGCTGAATTTGCCCTTGAAAGGCTGTCATGCCCGGCCAGTAGCGTGGCATCGGAGCGCGTGTTTAGTGCGGCAGGAGGTATTGTAACTCCGCGGAGGACACGACTGTCCACCCAAAGTGTGGAGAGACTCACGTTTGTGAAAATGAATCAGGCGGCGTGGATTAGTAGTCTGGATTTCAAACCACCAGTTCCTGACACAACTGACTAAATCCGCCATGAATCATGCCCCTGCCATGTGCCACTTTCAGGTCTCCTCACACTGCTGCTGTGTTCCATTTTGTCATAGGGTGCTGGCAGATTACGGGCCTCCCATAGCTGCTGCCAGGCCCCTAATCTGCCATGGCCCCCGTACCGCCTCTGCTGCCAGGTCCACAGTGTGTCATGCCATGTGCCACTTTCAGGTCTCCTCACACTGCTGTGTGTTCCATTTTGTCATAGGGTGCTGGCAGATTACGGGCCTCCCATTGCTGCTGCCAGGCCCCTAATCTGCCATGGGCCCCCTGTACCGCCTCCTCACGCTGCTGCCAGGTCCACAGTGTGTCATGCCATGTGCCACCATTTTCAGGTCTGCCATGTGCCACTTTCAGGTCCTCACACTGCTGCTGCTGTGTGTTCCATTTTGTCATAGGGTGCTGGCAGATTACGGGCCTCCCATTGCTGCTGCCAGGCCCCTAATCTGCCATGGGCCCCTGTACCGCCTCCTCACGCTGCTGCTCCACAGTGTCCACAGTGTGTCATGCCATGTGCCACTTTCAGGTCTCCTCACACTGCTGCTGGGTTCCATTTTGTCATAGGATGCTGGCAGATTACGGGCCTCTCCCATTGCTGCGGCCAGGCCCCTAATCTGCCATGGGCCCCTGTACCGCCTCCCTCTGCTGCTGCCAGGTCCACAGTGTGTCATGGGTCCCTGTACGGCCTCCCATGCTGTCTCCATGCCACTTTCAGGTCTCCTCACACTGCTGCTGGGTTCCATTTTTGTCATAGGATGCTGGCAGATTACGGGCCTCCCATTGCTGCGGCCAGGCCCCTAATCTGCCATGGGCCCCTGTACCGCCTCCTCACGCTGCTGCCAGGTCCACAGTGTGTCATGGGTCCCTGTGCCTCCCATGCATCGCCACACTCTGCCATGTGCCACTTTCAGGTCTCCTCACACACCTGCTGGATTCCATTTTTTGTCATAGGATGCTGGCAGATTACGGGCCTCCCATTGCTGCGGCCAGGCCCCTAATCTGCCATGGGCCCCCCTGTACCGCCTCCTCACGCTGCTGCCAGGTCCACAGTGTGTCATGGGTCCCTGTACCGCCTCCCATTGCTGCTGTCTCCATCGCCACACTCTGCCATGTGCCACTTTCAGGTCTCCTCCTCACACTCCTGCTGGTTCCATTTTGTCATAGGATGCTGGCAGATTACGGGCCTCCCATTGCTGCTGCCAGGCCCCTAATCTGCCATGGGCCCCTGTACCGCCTCCTCTGCTGCTGCCAGGCAGTGTGTCATGTCCCTGTACCGCCGCCAGGTGCTGCAGTGTGTCCATGCCATGTGCCACTTTCAGGTCTCCTCACACTCCTGCTGGGTTCCATTTTGTCATAGGATGCTGGCAGATTACGGGGTCTCCCATTGCTGCGGCCAGGCCCCTAATCTGCCATGGGCCCCTGTACCTGCCTCACGCTGCTGCCAGGTCCACAGTGTGTCATGGGGTCCCTCATACGGCCTGCCTGCTGCTGTCTCCAGGTCCACACACTCATGCCATGTGCCACTTTCAGGTCTCCTCACACTGCTGCTGGTTCCATTTTGTCATAGGATGCTGGCAGATTACGGGCCTCCCATTGCTGCGGCCAGGCCCCTAATCTGCCATGGGCCCCTGTACCGCCTCCTCACGCTGCTGCCAGGTCCACAGTGTGTCATGGGTCCCTGTACCGCCTCCCATTGCTGCTGTCTCCATCGCCACACTCTGCCATGTGCCACTTTCAGGTCTCCTCACACTCCTGCTGGGTTCCATTTTGTCATAGGATGCTGGCTGGCAGATTACGGGCGTCTCCCATTGCTGCGGCCAGGCCCCTAATCTGCCATGGGCCCCTGTACCGCCTCCTGCTGCTGCTGCCAGGTCCACAGTGTGTCATGGGTCCCTGTACCGCCTCCCATTGCTGCTGTCTCCATCGCCACACTCTGCCATGTGCCACTTTCAGGTCTCCTCACACTGCTGCTGGTTCCATTTTGTCATAGGATGCTGGCAGATTACGGGCCTCCCATTGCTGCGGCCAGGCCCCTAATCTGCCATGGGCCCCTGTACCGCCTCCTCATGCTGCTGCCAGGTCCACAGTGTGTCATGGGTCCCTGTACCGCCTCCCATTGCTGCTGTCTCCATCGCCACACTCTGCCATGTGCCACTTTCAGGTCTCCTCACACTGCTGCTGGGTTCCATTTTGTCATAGGATGCTGGCAGATTACGGGCTCTCCCATTGCTGCGGCCAGGCCCCTAATCTGCCATGGGCCCCTGTACCGCCTCCTCATGCTGCTGCCAGGTCCACAGTGTGTCATGCCATGTGCCCCTTTCAGGTGTCCTCGCCACACTGCCATGCCACTTTCAGGGTTCCACTGCTGCTGGTTCCATTTTTTTGTCATAGGATGCTGGCAGATTACGGGCCTCCCATTGCTGCGGCCAGGCCCCTAATCTGCCATGGGCCCCTGTACCGCCTCCTCACGCTGCTGCCAGGTCCACAGTGTGTCATGGGTCCCTGTACCGCCTCCCATTGCTGCTGTCTCCATCGCCACACTCTGCCATGTGCCACTTTCAGGTGTCCTCACACTGCTGCTGGTTCCCATTTTGTCATAGGATGCTGGCAGATTACGGGCCTCCTCACATTGCTGCTGCGGCCAGGCCAGGCCCCTAATCTGCCATGGGCCCCTGTACCGCCTCCTCACGCTGCTGCCAGGTCCACAGTGTGTCATGGGCCCCTGTACCGCCTCCCATTGCTGCTGTCTCCATCGTCCCACACTCTGTCATGCCATGTGCCACTTTCAGGTCTCCTCACACTCTGCTGCTGGGTTCCATTTTGTCATAGGATGCTGGCAGATTACGGGGCTCTCCCATTGCTGCGGCCAGGCCCCTAATCTGCCATGGGCCCCTGTACCGCCTCCTCATGCTGCTGCCAGGTCCACAGTGTGTCATGGGTCCCTGTACCGGCCTCCCATTGCTGCTGTCTCCATCGCATGTGCACACCTGCCATGTGCCACTTTCAGGTGTCCTCACACACTGCTGCTGGGTTCCATTTTGTCATAGGATGCTGGCAGATTACGGGCCTCTCCCATTGCTGCGGCCAGGCCCCTAATCTGCCATGGGCCCCTGTACCGCCTCCTCACGCTGCTGCTGCCAGGTCCCACAGTGTGTGTCATGGGTCCCTGTACCGCCTCCCATTGCTGCTGTCTCCATCGCCACACTCTGCCATGTGCCACTTTCAGGTGTCCTCACACTGCTGCTGGTTCCATTTTGTCATAGGATGCTGGCAGATTACGGGCCTCCCATTGCTGCGGCCAGGCCCCTAATCTGCCATGGGCCCCTGTACCGCCTCCTCACGCTGCTGCTGCTGCCAGGTCACATGTGTGTCATGCCATGTGCCACTCTGCCTTTCAGGTCTCCTCACACTGCTGCTGCTGGATTCCATTTTGTCATAGGATGCTGGCAGATTACGGGCCATTGCTGCGGCCAGGCTGCTGCCATGGGGCCCCTGTACCGCCTCCTAACGCTGCTGCCATGGGCCCCTGTACCCCTCCTCATGCTGCTGTCCCAGTGTCCACAGTGTGTCATGCCATGTGCCACTTTCAGGTCTCCTCACACTGCTGCTGGTTCCATTTTGTCATAGGATGCTGGCAGATTACGGGGCCTCCCATTGCTGCGGCCAGGCCCCTAATCTGCCATGGCCCCTGTACCCCGCCTCCTCCTCATGCTGCTGCCAGGTCCACAGTGTGTCATGGGTCCCTGTACCGCCTCCCATTCCCTGCTGTCTCCATCGCCACACTCTGCCATGTGTGCCACTTTCAGGTCTCCTCACACTCCTGCTGGGGTTCCATTTTGTCATAGGATGCTGGCAGATTACGGGCCTCCCATTGCTGCGGCCAGGCCCTAATCTGCCCATGGGCCCCTGTACCGCCCTCCTCTGCTGCTGCCAGGTCCACAGTGTGTCATGGGTCCCTGTACCGCCTCCCATTGCTGCTGTCTCCATCGCCCACACTCTGCCATGCCACTTTCAGGTCTCCTCACACTGCTGCTGGGTTCCATTTTGTCATAGGATGCTGGCAGATTACGGGCGTCTCCCATTGCTGCGGCCAGGCCCCTAATCTGCCATGGGCCCCTGTACCGCCTCCTCATGCTGCTGCCAGGTCCACAGTGTGTCATGGGTCCCACCGCCTCCCATTGTGTGTCACTCTGCCATGTGCCACTTTCAGGTCTCCTCACACTGCTGCTGGGTTCCATTTTGTCATACGGGGCCTCCCATGCTGGCAGATTACGGGCCTCCATTGCTGCTGGGCCAGGCCCCTAATCTGCCATGGGCCCCTGTACTGCCTCCCTGTACCGCCTCCTCATGCTGCTGCCAGGTCCACAGTGTGTCATGGGTCCCTGTACCGCCTCCCTGCTGCTCTGTCTCCATCGCCACACTCTGCCATGTGCCACTTTCAGGTCTCCTCACACTGCTGCTGGGTTCCATTTTGTCATAGGATGCTGGCAGATTACGGGCCTCACATTGCTGCGGCCAGGCCCCTAATCTGCCATGGGCCCCCCCTGTACCGCCTCCTCATGCTGCCAGGTCCACAGTGTCATGGGTCCCAGCCTCCATTGTGTCTCCATCGCCACACTCTGCCATGTGCCACTTTCAGGTCTCCTCACACTCCTGCTGGATTCCATTTTGTCATAGGATGCTGGCAGATTACGGGGTCTCCCATTGCTGCGGCCAGGCCCCTAATCTGCCATGGGCCCCTGTACCGCCTCCTCATGCTGCTGCCAGGTCCACAGTGTGTCATGGGTCCCTGTACCGCCTCCCATTGCTGCTGTCTCCATGCCACACTTTGCCAGGTCTCCTCACACTGCTGCTGCTGGGTTCCATTTTGTCATAGGATGCTGGCAGATTACGGGCCTCCCATTGCTGCGGCCAGGCCCCTAATCTGCCATGGGCCCCTGTACCGCCTCTCACGCTGCTGCCAGGTCCACAGTGTGTGTGTCATGGGTCCCTGTACGCGCCTCCCATTGCTGCTGCCCCTCTCCATCGCCACACTCTGCCATGTGCCACTTTCAGGTCTCCTCACACTGCTGCTGGGTTTCCATTTTGTCATAGGATGCTGGCAGATTACGGGCGTCTCCCATTGCTGCGGCCAGGCCCCTAATCTGCCATGGGCCCCTGTGTACGCGCCTCCTCCTGCTGCCTGTCCCAGGTCCATGTGTGTCATGGGTCCCTGTACCGCCTCCCATTGCTGCTGTCTCCATCGCCACACTCTGCCATGTGCCACTTTCAGGTGTCCTCCTCACACTGCTGCTGGGTTCCATTTTGTCATAGGATGCTGGCAGAGATTACGGGCCTCTCCCATTGCTGCGGCCAGGCCCCTAATCTGCCATGGGCCCCTGTACCCGCCTCCTCACGCTGCTGCCAGGTCCACAGTGTGTCATGGGTCCCTGTACCGCCTCCCATTGCTGCTGCTGTCTCCATCGCCACACTCTGCCATGTGCCACTTTCAGGTCTCCTCACACTGCTGCTGGGTTCCATTTTGTCATAGGATGCTGGCAGATTACGGGCCTCTCCCATTGCTGCGGCCAGGCCCCTAATCTGCCATGGGCCCCTGTACCGCCTCTGCATGCTGCTGCCTGTCCACAGTGCCATGGGTCCCTGTACCGCCTCCCATTGCTGCTGTCTCCATGCCACACTCTGCCATGTGCCACTTTCAGGTCTCCTCACACTGCTGCTGGGTTCCATTTTGTCATAGGATGCTGGCAGATTACGGGCCTCTCCCATTGCTGCGGCCAGGCCCCTAATCTGCCATGGGCCCCTGTACCGCCTCCTCACGCTGCTGCCAGGTCCACAGTGTGTCATGGGTCCCTGTACCGCCTCCCATGCTGCTGCTGTCTCCATCGCCACACTCTGCCATGTGCCACTTTCAGGTCTCCTCACACTGCTGCTGGGTTCCATTTTGTCATAGGATGCTGGCAGATTACGGGCCTCCCATTGCTGCGGCCAGGCCCCTAATCTGCCATGGGCCCCCTGCCTCCTCGCTGCGCCTCCACATGCTGCTGCCTGTCCCACAGTGTGTCCATGCCATGTGCCACTTTCAGGTCTCCTCACACTGCTGCTGGATTCCATTTTGTCATAGGATGCTGGCAGATTACGGGCTCTCCCATTGCTGCGGCCAGGCCCCTAATCTGCCATGGGGCCCCTGTACCGCCTCCTCATGCTGCTGCCAGGTCCACAGTGTGCCATGGGTCCCTGTACCGCCTCCCATTGCTGCTGTCTCCATGCCACACTCTGCCATGTGCCACTTTCAGGTCTCCTCACACTGCTGCTGGGTTCCATTTTGTCATAGGATGCTGGCAGATTACGGGCCTCACATTGCTGCGGCCAGGCCCCTAATCTGCCATGGGCCCCTGTACCGCCTCCTCACGCTGCTGCCAGGTCCACAGTGTGTCATGGGTCCCTGTACCCGCCTCCCATTGCTGCTGTCTCCATCGCCACACTCTGCCATGTGCCACTTTCAGGTCTCCTCACACTGCTGCTGGGTTCCATTTTTTGTCATAGGATGCTGGCAGATTACGGGCCTCCCATTGCTGCGGCCAGGCCCCTAATCTGCCATGGGCCCCTGTACCGCCTCCTCATGCTGCTGCCAGGTCCACAGTGTGTCATGGGTCCCTGTACCGCCTCCCATTGCTGCTGTCTCCTCCATCGCCACACTCTGCCATGTGCCACTTTCAGGGTCTCCTCACACTGCTGCTGGGTTCCATTTTGTCATAGGATGCTGGCAGATTACGGGCCTCTCCCCATTGCTGCGGCCAGGCCCCTAATCTGCCATGGGCCCCTGTACCGCCTCCTCATGCTGCTGCCAGGTCCACAGTGTGCTGCATGGGTCCCTGTAGGCCTCCATTGCTGCTGTCCATCGCCACTCTGCCATGTGCCACTTTCAGGTCTCCTCACACTGCTGCTGGGTTCCATTTTGTCATAGGATGCTGGCAGATTACGGGCCTCACATTGCTGCGGCCAGGCCCCTAATCTGCCATGGGCCCCTGTACCGCCTCCTCACGCTGCTGCAGGTCCACAGTGTGTCATGGGGTCCCTGTACCGCCTCCCATTGCTGCTGTCTCCATCGCCACACTCTGCCATGTGCCACTTTCAGGTGTCCTCACACTGCTGCTGGGTTCCATTTTGTCATAGGATGCTGGCAGATTACGGGCCTCCCATTGCTGCGGCCAGGCCCCTAATCTGCCATGGGCCCCTGTACCGCCTCCTCATGCTGCTGCCAGGTCCACAGTGTGTCCATCAGTGGTGTCATGGGTCCCTGTACGGCCCCTCCCATTGCTGTGCTCCATCGCCACACTCTGCCATGTGCCACTTTCAGGTCTCCTCACACTCCTGCTGGTTCCATTTTGTCATAGGATGCTGGCAGATTACGGGCCTCACATTGCTGCGGCCAGGCCCCTAATCTGCCATGGGCCCCTGTACCGCCTCCTCATGCTGCTGCCAGGTCCACAGTGTGTCATGCCATGTGCCACTTTCAGGTGTCCTCGACCATTTTGTCATAGGGTGCTGGCAGATTACGGGCCTCACATTGCTGCGGCCAGGCCCCTAATCTGCCATGGGCCCCTGTACCGACTCCTCATGCTGTGACGTTGCAACAAGGTGGAATTCAACCCTACATATGTTAGACCGCCTTTACGAACAGCGAAAGGCCATCACCGATTTCCTGATGTTACAAGCGGATAAAGGTACTCCCCTGTGTAACTTCGATGTCAGCCATTGGCAGCTCATGCGTGACACCTGCCGCTTGCTCAGGCCCTTTGAGGAGGCCACGCTATTCGTGAGTCGGCAGGACTATGGGATGAACGACGTCATTCCTCTGTTGCACGTCCTGGAACAAATGCTGTTAACAATGGCTGGTCAGGGTGCGGTAGACGTGGCGCACAGATCTCAACGCCACATGACCCCTGTGGGGGCAGGACAGGAAGAAGAGGAGGAGGAGGTAGAGGAGGACATTGGTGCTCAGGAATTATTGAGTGAAATGGGTGGTTTTTCCACTCAGCGGACAGGAGTGGAGGAGCAGGAGCATCTGGTAGAGGAGGAGGAGGAGGAGACAGAGGACCCAGACGCACCGTGGCAGTATGCTGTGGAGATGGAGGCAGGGAGTCCCTCGCATTCCTTGGCGCAAATGGCCCATAGCATGCTCGGTTGCTTGCGTAGCGACAGCCGAATAATAACCATCAGACAGAGGGATGACTTTTGGCTGTCCACCTTGTTGGACCCTCGCTACCGTTCCAAAATGGTGGCCTTTTTCACACCTGCTGAGAGGGAGGCCAAAATTACGTACTATAAAAACCACCTATGTAGTCAGTTGGTCTCTGCCTTTCTGCGCCAACGTCCATCCTCAGACACTGTGGGCCCTGTGCGCTCGCGTTCCGCTGCCATGGCAGCAGGGGAGGGGTGGGGGTGGTAGGAGCAGTGGCAGCTCCACCAGCAGCGTGGGTCCTGTACGGCCTCCCATTGCTGCTGTCTCCATCGCCACACTCTGCCATGTGCCACTTTCAGGTCTCCTCACACTGCTGGTGGGTTCCATTTTGTCATAGGGTGCTGTATGGCCTCCCATTGCTGCTGCCTCCACCGCCACACTGTGGCTCCACACTCTGGTTTTGGCCCCGTGACTGGCCAAATGAGTGAAGTGTGCGGTGATTCTAAGATCGACGACACTCATCTGCATGTCATACTGACTGACAGTATTATTTCTCTTCCCCAGCAGACTCCAAGGGCATTTAAATTAAAGGTACAGTGTTCTGCACTAATATAAAGGCTCTCTGAAGCCTAGAAACACCCTTTTATAAGTTAAAATCGCAGCGAATATATTCGACTCAAATCAAATTTTTTTCACGAATTCGCCGAATCAGTCGAATCGAATTTTTGAATACTTCGCTCATCTCTAATTATATTGATTAGATGTATTTTTTTTGTTTTTATAATTATGTTTCTATATATATAAACCAAGAATGTGTAGTGCAATAACTTCTCATCCAGACATATAAATGTAATAAAGTAATCCTCCAGTAATCCCATGCAAGATAAATCCACACTACAATAAATGTCCGACTCCCAAATAGCAAAATGTCCAAATTAGTGCATTTTAACAATCACTTTCCAGAAGACTTGCTTGTCCCAAGATACTCTCCCTGCTCACCTTTAAGTTTGATCTACAAATTATAATAGGTAAAATGCATTTATACAGATGTGAATCCTTTCAGGTGGCAACTAATGTAGAATTTCTTCACTCAATCACGACTCCAAAAACGTGTATGTATAATAAAACAAAGATATATATCATAGTGCAACACCATTTAAATTAAAGCTAATGGTTGAGTGCATACAACATATGCGCTCACATTAGAACAAAAACACACCGCACTCCACAACAGTGTTGTAAAGTGTTCACTTCATCCAACATATATATATACGT